TGTATATGTGTATATGTATATATATATATATATATATATATATATATATATATATATATATATATATATATATATATATATATATATATATTACAATTTATTAATAACTAAAAGGGATTAGAGTATTACCAATACCGATTTTTTTTTTTCTTTTTTTTTTTGTGGTGGACTGATTTAAATTTGTTAAAAGCTAAAATTTACAAATGCAATATAATATATTAATTAAAATTATAGTTGCCATTAATAATAATTATTTTTAATTATGCTAACTAGCTCTGTTATTAATCTTATCAAGTATCTCTTTATGTGAGCATGGGTAAATGTTTTCTGTGTCTTCATCTGTCTTTCCACTGTAGGATTTTTACCCATTTTATAATCTAATAATAAAAATCTGACGCCTTTTGCTGTTAAAAATTACATTACATACAGTAGAAAGAATATGAAATCAAACGCATATAGTGAATGTGGGCTTCGTGTTGTGCAGACATCTTTGTTTTTGTTTACATCCAGCCTGTTATAATAATATCCTGCTGTTCTGGTGCACATGCAGCCTCTTTTGTTAGACATTACATCAAAAGCGACCTAGACGTCTGTCTTCTGTCTCCACCTAGAGGATGAGATCCGAAACTACATACAGTTCAGAAATGACAATTTCTGCCAAAGTTATCCTAACTACAGTCTTTCTCTCGTTTACATTGACAGCTCCCTCAGGTCTACATGTGAGCTTCAAAAATACTGCGACTGATCTTCAAAGTTCGTTTGTTCTCCGTTTGTACTAGCACTACCTAAAGCAGTTTTTAGTTTATGATTGTGACCCCTAGAGGGGGACATAAGTTCATTCATGTCCCTTTAAAAGACTTCTGGACATTCAGCCTAACATCATACACACATACACAGGCACTCGCACAACAAAGTGTCATTTCAGTTCGAAATGAGTTGCTTCTCCCTAGAGTCAGCACATTTACCCTCTTGATATCCAGAAGGTGTCGTCATTTACTGTGTTTGTGTTTGTTGTTTTTGTAGGCTCTGAGCAGGAAAGGCCTGGGCGAAATCACCACAGACATCCGGCAGCTCACAGTTTTTTACTACGCTGAAGATTATCACCAGCAGTACCTGCACAAGGTGCCAAAGGGATACTGTGGGTTAAAGGGCACCGGTGTGACCTGCTCTATTACAGAGGGGAGAGATGAACTATGAATCAGAGATCACAGACATAGGCCTACTTGTTTTCTATGTTAAAGGTGTTGTACTGTATGTAAGTTGAATCTTCTAAAGCAGAAAAAAACATAATATGTTTGCAGATGCTTTAGAAACATCATCGTCTATCTGAAAAACAAATCTGAAGTCAATTTTTCTCCTTTGAATATTTGCTCTCCATGTTTTAAGTTTTGTCTTTGTTTTGGTCTCTATAACCTGTCCACTGCCACTTTAACTATATTTCAGCACTGCTGCTTGCCTTAGTATGAAGGCTGTCTTGATATATGCAGTCGCGGCTGAAATGCAAACTATAAGTCGTAACAGCCTTTGAAATAAGAGATAGATTCAGAGTTCTAAAATTCCACATTAAGTGTTTTGAATACACATGTAATATAAATATTGTAAATGTAAAAATGGCAGCAATGTGGCGCAGTGGGTAGCATGATTGCCTCACAGCAGGAAGGTCGCTGGTTTAAGCCCCGGCTGGGTCAGTTGACATTTCTGTGTGGAGTTTGCATGTTCTCCCCATTGCTCCGGGTGCTCCGGTTTTCCCCACAGTTAAAAGACATGCGCTACCGCTGAATTGAATAAGCTAAATTGGCCATAGTGTATGAGTGTGAATGCAAGAGTGTGCAGGTGTTTCCCATTGTTGGGTTGCGGCTGGAGGGGCATCCGCTTTGTAAAACATATTCTGAATAAGTTGGCAGTTCATTACGCTCTGGCGACCCCGATTAATAAAGGGATTAAGCCAAAAAGAATGAATGAATAAATGCAAACATTAGCTGAGAAGCTTGCATTGTAAAGCTCGATTCTCAGGCATGTTCGCTACTTTTGGTGTCATCAATCCGGCAACCTATGTTTGCATGTCATCTATTTGATTGGGTGGCTAATTGGAATTTGTACAATTTAGTACGATTTGATAATCCACCAATGACGGTTGGGTCTAGGGGCGGGTAGGGTGCCATGCCTTCTTTTCACAATGAACATTTTCATTCGACTGAACTCATATTAGCCATTAAACTGGTAATATGTAAAATATTTCCTCATGAAAAATTAGGACTGCAAAACCTAGTTCAACAACTATGTCAATCCTACATACTGCACCTTTTAAGGGGGGTCTTAAAGTTTCTGACATCATCTAGTCTTTCTCAACCAAACCAAAGTTGTTGTTGTTGAATTAAACTGAAGCTGATTTTAGAACCATTAAACAGTTTCATTGCGTAAACCATCTTTTGTCTTCCGCCTATCTGAAAAACATTATTTCAGCTAGTAATTTCTCATTTAAATTTAAATTATGAGTAGTAATGGCATTAATTGTTACATATGTACATATACAAAAGATATAAACTTTATTTTCTGTGAAATTGAAAAAAATTGATTTTATGTTTAAACTAAGATCAAATATCTATCAGTGTCATTAGAGCATGTATTTTCTACTTGAATATTAATCAAAGTGAAGTTTCATAAACTAATTTGGAGAGGAGTTATATGATTGAGCACTACTGAGCGGCCCTCATCTGTAATCAGTAATAATCCAGATAGAATGATCCTAGTTTACTATAAATGGATCATTTTCTCCTTACTGCTCCATCTTCGTTTTAGACAAATCCCCCCTTCCACTCCATCTCCTCCTTTTCCTCCCTTTTCTAAAGGGGGAGCTCTCAAGACCTACCTGATCTCGGATCTCCTGATATGCTTATTGACCGGGAGCCCTGGGCTTAAATATCTCTAAGCTCAGGGTTCTCTCCCGGGACAGCATGCCAAACCTGCTATAAATGCTAAGCAAATCTAAGTGGGAAATCTTAAATTAGAATTTGTTCATTTTGATCAGTTCTACAGAAAAAAAAGTTCTTCTGTCTTTACTTAGTGAGTAAATTTATCTTTAGGTATTTGCATAGGAAAGCAAGATTTACTGAGCAAGAACATGATTTTTTATTTATTTTTTTTGCTGTGTGTGTATTAAGGACTGTAGAGTTATTGAAGCATCAAGCTATTGTCATTTTTTTCTCTTTTTTTTGTAAAATGGATTAAAACGCTGTAGTGGCTGTGTTTGATGTTAATTACTTCCTTTTTATTTAATTGGTGAATCTTCAATGAATTTTCTAAGAAAGTCAGGTTGTTTCGTTTGATATTCTTTCCCTAGCAGGGTTGTTATTATGAAGTAGTCTTTTCTCATAAAAAGTAGGGAGTCTTAAGTGATCTTCAAAATTAAATCTTTGTTTAAAAGGACACATGCTTGAACAAACTGTATAGTAAATGTATTTACTGACAGAATGTGAGCTGATGATTGATGTTGGATCCCGAAGCAAACAGCAGTTTCCTCCAGCTGGATCTGTCATACTGTCTGCTATAAAGCGTGTCTCTGACCTCTGTGGACAGTAGAATCTGCGGCGTTCAATAAGGACTGTTTATTTATAAGGATAGTTTGTCCATGTAATATAATATATAATATAATAGGCAATATATAACTTTTTGACTGATCATTTTGCGAGATGCTAATATTCAGCTTAACGTGCAAATCAAAGGCTAAACTAGGTGGAACTACTGGTTTTGTGTTTGTAACCAGTAAAATAATAAACATTTTTAAAGAAGAAGAATATTGGCAAAAAAAAATTAAAAACTGTTTTAATTTTAGCCAAGCTAAAAGAAATAAGGCTTTTTCCAGAGAAGTTAAACATCATTTGCAAAATATTACAAATTCATAGGATGGCTAATAATGTGCCTTAAAAAAAAAAAAAAAAAATATATATATATATATATATATATATATATATATATATATATATATATATATATATATATATATATATATATATATATACATACATACATACATACACACACACACACACACACACACACACACACACACACACACACACATATATATATATATATATATATATATATATATATATATATATATATATATATATATATATGTGTGTGTGTGTGTGTGTGTGTGTGTGTGTGTGTGTGTGTCTATCTTTCTATCTGTATGAGTAT